ACAGCAGCCAAGAGACCACTGAGGATCGAGTCTGAACTCCACCCCTTGCTGTCTGTGTAATCTTGCTCAAATTACCTCATCTCTCTCTGCTTCAGTTTCCTCGGCAAGACAGGGCTCTCGGGCTGTCAATCACATCTCATACCACTGTCCTCCAGACATCCGCTGGCTCTCCCTGATAGGGCTGCATTAGGATCTGTGGACTCGGGAAAGGGCAGAACTGGTGTTACATAATCCATCTGTGTCAGAAGACACAAGTTTCTTCCCTCTTCTATTTATTTCATAAGACCAGTCCTTATGTTGCCACTGGCCACACCTTCTTTTTTGCAACACTGATAATTCCCTTGGCACCAGACTTATTCACTACCCTCCGGATCCCCAAACTCCTGCCGAGGTAAGATGCTGTGACCCAGCCTGCCTGCTCTGGCCAGTTTCCTTTTCTGAACAAGCTGTACTGCGCACTCAACTTCTGGCCCATTCCCAATCTTAGATGGTCGCTGGATGGTGGGCCGGCCAGTCTGATAAACTCACTGGAGCTGTGTTGGGGACTAATATTGGTAACAATAATTATAATTGCTCCTTTCCAAGTTCCTCATCTGGCTCTGGCACTGTGCTGAGTACCTTATTTACATTATCTCATTTCATCTTCACACAACACAACAACCCACTTGTGTATAAAAAACACCGAGATTCAAACAGGTTGTATATTGGCTAAGGTTGTTGGGGGAGTGACAAAACTGGGATTCAAGGTCAGGGAGTTGGACTTTGAACTGTCCACCTCACGCCCTGCTGCTCCCCCACTAATGGCTTAATGTGTACTCCTTTTCTATATTATTTCTATCTTAACAATTATCAACACTTTATTTTTTTTAAAGATTTTATTTATTTATTTGAGAGAGAGAGAATGAGAGAGAGCATGAGAGGGTCAGAGGGAGAAGCAGACTCCCCGCTGAGCAGGGAGCCCGACGCGGGACTTGATCCCGGGACTCCAGGATCATGACCTGAGCCGAAGGCAGTCGCTTAACCAACTGAGCCACCCAGGCGCCCCTCATCAACACTTTAAACTAAATGAGAAAGGAACGGGGCCATTTCAGGCTGCCAGGGGTGCAATGGTTTTGGAAAAGGAGTCCGTTGAGGCCCCCATGGGCTCTGAGAATACAGAGTTGTCTGCTTTTGATTTCTGCCTGTCAGGATTGAGAGTTGTTCTCAAGATGTCCACAGTGACTCTTAAATGTGTCCGATTCAAAAATCAATACCCACATTTCTATCACCCATATCAAGCCAAAATCAATAGTTCACCCTGGCAAAAGTGAATGGTTTTTAAATCCGGGCCCACGTTCCCACTACGTGGTCCCTACCACTACCAAGAAATGGAAAAGGTAGCAATTTTGCATGTAAGATTCTATATTAGGCTCATAAATATGTGGAGTTGTTACTTCTAGTGATGTTATTGATGATTTGATTCACCTATTAACGAAAACCTTTTCAATGATCGATTGGTCAAGAACTCGTTACATGGCGTCCTCAGTTGGGTTCTGTGGAATTCAATATCTTGTTTAAATCCTGGTAGTTGTGAGCAATGCTTATTGACAACTTAATGACTCAATGTGTAGCAAAAATGCCAGGAATACCTGGGGGTAATAAGAAATTGAGCAGAATTTAAAGAATTCCATGACTTTATTTATGGGTTACTTTTCTTAACTAGGCAATGATGAAATCATAGATGCCCTGAAAAGAACCTAGCAATTATGTCAGGGCACTGTCAGATTAAGTTAATAATTTAGGTGAACACTGCATATTCTTTTCCTTTCCCACCCAGCTTTATAATTTAATAAAATGGATAATGCCCCCCTTGTCTTATAATGCCTTTGAGTATCGTTTTATTGCTTCTGCATTATCTTTTATGGTTCAGGTAAAAGCCTTTCTTCCAGATAAGAGAAAACATTTGGAAAAGTAAAAGGTCTGTAACCCTATTACGGGGATCCTTGTTTTCCCAACTTGGACTCTGGGACCAGGCAAGCAGTTGCTGCAGGGGAGGACCTGTCACCGCTTGCTTTTTTGGTTGTTTTAGCAAAATCTTCTCTGGTCCTTCTCCCACTTGCCTGTTGTTGATAGCTGGTCCCAATCGTGGAGCTCTGAAAAACGTCCAGTGAGTACATCCTGCCACCCCTCCCAACTGCCCTTCCCTCTTGGTAGCTCCTCCAGCTTTGGAGCCAGGCAGCCTTGTGCTATTATAATCCCACCTCCACCACGTACTGGCCAGGAAGCCCTGGGAAAGTTCCTTATTTATCTGAGCCTTATTTTTCCCCACCTAACGGGAAAATAAACCTAACTTGCAGGGTTATTGTGGATATCAAACAGAACAGCACCATGTAAGTACCCAGCAGCATGCCAGGAGCAGATGAAGTAGTCCACAAATGTGAGTTCCCCCCTGTCAGCCCCTTCTCAACAGACAGCCGCTCTGAGCCTGTGTACAGGAGGGTCTGATCGCCAGCCTGAGGTCAAGGAGAGTTCTTGGGCTGTGAAGTAGGAGAGTGGAGCAAGGGAATCGGGCATTTCCACACAACCTGAGGTCTTTCACCTGTGATTTGACTCATTTAATTCCAAAACTGGACAGGCGAAAGAAAAAGATAGAAGTAAAATTCATCTTTTCTAGGGCTTTTTTATTCTAGTCACTGCTTGAGGAGGCGCTTGCCATTTCAGAGAAGAGCAATCATGACTCCAGATAGTCATTATCCTGCCCAGTTATCTCAGGGCCCATGTTGCCGGGGCAGCAATGGCTCCAAAACAAAGAAATACTGAGAGATTTGTCCATTCTGAGTGACTAATTTGACTTATGTTGGCCAAGAGCTCGGTTTTCACGTTATTGAATAGATCTTTTCCTTCACTAATTGGCTCTCCATCTTGTGAATGTGGTTGGGCAAAGAGGGTCACTCCTCTCAGGCATGGGCCCTGCTTGGTTCTGCAATTTGCCTAGAAGCTTTCCTAAAACATCGAGCTCCCCCAGCTTTCTGTTGAAGCCAACAGGTTTTCAACAGCCTCTTTGTTAGTGTTTTTCCATAATAATTTTGTCTGAGCCTGCTCAGGAGACATTCCAGGTCTACTCCTATGAGAGCATTTTCTAGTTTCAGCATGTAAGGTGCTCGGTACATTATCCTTAACCTCTCAGAATCCTTCATTCTTCAAATAACATGAGAGAAGGTGAATTTATGGTCCAGGGGTCCAATTTGGTGCAAAGACATGGCTTATTTTTCCTTTTAATTGCACACCGTGTTTGTCCCCCCACGTTCTTATTATTCATACAGCAAAGTTAAAAAATATTTATAGTGAACCCTCCTGTACCCACCTCCTAGATTCAGCCATTAACATTTTATTCTACTTGCCTTATCACATGTCTGTCCATCTATTACTCTAGCCATATATATCAATCTTTATTTTTTTGATGCATTTCGAAGTAACTTGCAGACATCAGTACGCTTCCTCCTAAATACCTCAGTATGCTGGAGTTCAGTAAGAAGTACACACATCTTAAGTATATATTCGCTGAGTCTTGACAAGTACATATGCCTATGTAACCCAAACCCCTATGAACAGAGTATTAGCATCCCCAGAAAGTTTTGTCATGCCCCTTCCCAGTCAATCCCCATCTGCAGAAGCAACCCCTTTTCTGAATGTTTTCCACCATAGATTGTTTTTATCTGTTCTAGAATGTCATATAAACAGAATCCTTAGTATGTTCTTTTTTTGTGTGAGACTTCTTTCACTCACTATAATGTTTCTGAGATTTATCCATGTTGTTGCATGCATCAGTGATTTGTTCCTTTGTATTGCTGAGTAACATTCCATTCTACAAATATATCACAGTTCATCCATTCTCCTAAGGATGAACACTTGGCCTGCTTCTAGGGTTTTGTTTTGTTTTGGGGGTGGGGGGTTGGCTATTATGACAAAGCTGCTCAGAACAACACTGTACAAGTCTTTTTTCATTCCTCTTGGGTAAACACCTAGGAGTTGAATTTCTGGGTCATCGAGTAGATGTTATGTTTATACATGCAGCTATATGCTTAGAATAAATTGCCAAAACTTTCCCCAAAGTGATTGTACCATTTCCGCTTCCACTAGCAATCCAGTACCTCCAAATCCTGGCCAACATTTGATGTTACCAATCTTAGCCATTTGGTGGGCATATAGTGGTATCTCATTGTGGTGACATTTTATTTCACATTCCCCTAATGATGTAGAGCACTTTTTCACTACAGAGTGTTTTTACTGAAAATTAGCATCATTTAAAAAAATCTAGAGGTTTCACATAAAAATCCAGATATCCAGCTTTTCAAGAAACCTCAAAGGACCTAGCAAGACTGAGCTCAGATTCCCACATGGGGACAATCAACAGAAGTTGAGTGGTGGCTGTCCCTTTAGGGCAGATGCCCTTTAGACCCCCAATGTCCTAACCCTCCCATAACTCCCCAAAACATGGGCCAGTTATCAGTCATCATATATCACGTTTGCAGTTATCCTTCCTGTTAAGAGGAAAGTGAGCTATTTCTTGAGCCCATATTATTATCAATACTGGAAAAGTAAAAGTTAGATCAAGAGGGCCTTATATTTCAAAATGGGAAGTCCACATTTTTTTGTGTGAATGAAAAAATATTCTGACAAGGTTTAATATGTAAATTAAATGGGTCTACTTTGAAAGATTATAATTTAGGGCTCTATAATGAAACTGCCTGGCTTTACTCATTTTTATCTGCCTGGCTCCTTTAGGATTTTGAGTTTGCAACTTCTATGATAGAACATTTACATTGATGAATCATGTCTCAAGACTGCACTAACTGGGGGTTATTTTGATATATATAAAGAGATTTAATTTCACGTCCTTTTTTCGAACAAGGAAAAAAATACTTCAATAATATTCAGAAACCTTCATGTGTTATAAAACATTGAGACTAAAACAAATTGTTTCACTTTCTGAAATTCTATAATTTTGCTTTTAATTCCAGGATTGTAAGTGGAAAATGTATATGGAGATGGACGGGGATGAAATTGCAATAACCTACATCAAAGATGTGACATTCAACACTAACCTACCCAATGCAGAGATTTTAAAGATGACAAAGGTAGCGTTCTATTTACGGCTTAAAAGCTTTTGGAATTCACAGATATCAAACAAAGACATTAAAATCCCTCAGCAGTGTGCTTTTGTGCTTGTCGATGTCACATCAGCTCGGCCTCAAGCTGGCTGTTGAAAGGCACATTTTATTTAGCAGATTGAGATCATAATAGTTTTTTGTTAAAATTCCACTTATGCTGTGTGAACTAAAAAGTACTACAAAAAAAAGTGTCCTTTAATTTTTAAAAAAATTTCCTTCTTTATTTCTTTACACTTACTCCATCATTTACTAAAGGAAAGAAAATGGCATCATGAAAATATTTACCTCAACTTTGGGGTCACTTGAAACTTTGAAAAACTTGGAAGGAGGAAGGCTTTCTTGGTTGTCTTCAATTTCTTGAAGGACTGAGGGGAGGTTATTCGTGAGGCATTTGTTGACATCTTGGCTTCCTTGAGTTCACACCTCTGGCCAGAGAATACCTCACTACTTTAGGGTCAGTGGTAGAAGTACATCCATTAAAACACAGACGACAGACTCAGAGAAATGCTTAGCTTCTCCTCAAAATGGAAAAAAATTCAGTTCTGTCCCAATAATACTGAAAAAAAATACATGAGACTTCAATAGTAGAAGGTCAACAACTCAGGTAAATAACCATGATATCCATTGGACAGTCACTCGAAACATCACATAAGCCATTCTTGAGTATACTATGAATGGTGTATTTGGTTTCAGTGAAGAAAATGGGGTTTGTAGCAAAGAAGAACCTGGGTACAAACACAAGTGGCGAAGTGAAGAGTCTTCAAAGCCACAGCATTAGACTTGCAAATGTGTTCCTTCCTAGGCATAAGATTGCTAAGCATCCAAGTCCTTTGAATTTGCAAGTGTATTCATCAAGTCGATTGATTTGATATTCATTGTTGGAATCTTCTGAGTAACTGGGAGTTATTTCAGTGGTGTTATTTATCTGTAAAGGTTATGCTCTGGTTTTAACTTTCCCTGATTTTGTTGGGACATACTATGTTTTGATGTCTTGAAGACTGGACAGATGCCTGCTCGTTCCCCCCAACCTATGCCATTTAAAAGCAAGATCCTAGCCCTTGCCTGATAACAGAAGGAAGCTGCTCACAGCAAAAATGACAGGGTAGAGTTGTAAACCCAAATACAGGTGTTTCTGGTATAATGCCACATATGCACTCCCAAAGAAGCACATCTTCTGCAACATCACACACCAACATTAACTGGGATTATAGGAAAAATAGGATTGGGGCAGACCATTCAAAATCTGTAGAACTTTTTAACATCGACAAGACTCATAACAGTCCTCATTTAAAAAAGAAGAAAAAAAAAAAGCCCAGTTAAATCTCTACCACGTGGTGTGCTTTGTACCCATCTCAAGCCCAGTCGGTCATTTGTAACCTTAAAGCTAGAATGAAGGGGTGGAGGGTGGTTAAGAGAGTGGAGATTGATTTATAATAAAGACCATTTTCATCAAAACTAAAATATGATCCAAGGTGTCAGGGTGAAAAAGTTTCCTTCTACCCTTCTAAGTTCTTTGGCTGGTCTGCTAATTAAAAGGACACAAGACAGATTAACAGGAGAAGAATTTAATTTTGTACATACAGAAGCCCCAAAGATATGAGACTCAAGAGCAAGTCAGGCAGTTGAGCCTTATGTGCCATCCTGAGCTAAGGAATGAGCCAGGGGCCTGGGGCTTCAAAGGGGAGGAAGGTAATTCACAGGAAGATAAGAAGAGCAGATGTTTGATAATTAGAAGCTTGCCCTGCCATGCAGATAGGTCTTTCAGATAAAAAGTTATCTCTGATAATAGCTCTCTTTCTGGGCCAGGTGCCCTATCTAAATTCTTTTAGGCAGTTACAGGAGAGGTAAAAGTTTTCCTGAGTCTGCCGGGTTTTGATGGCCTTCAGCTAAAAATACAATACATATGCCAAAGTGACATGTTTTGGGGTGAGACAATCTCCCCTTGAAAGGCATAGGCTTCTTCATTAATCCTTTGTTTTAATACAGTGGGGAAATGTTGCCACAGTTTCATCTGCACACACAGCCTGATAGCTGGATAGCCGGTTACAGGGAAAAGGCAGAGTAGTTGAAGCCACTAACTCAGCTACTGCTTGCACTCCTAGGAAGGAACATCGGGGTCTGTATTGTTAAGGCTTTCTCTTAAATATGAGAAAGATTTCTACTGAAACTTTAAAACGTTAGCATGAATAATGACCTAATGATAGGATTGAGTGGTATATCAGAGAAGAGAAGATTATGGGACTAAGACTAGCTGTTTATAATTATAGAAAAAGATGTCTTATGAAAATCAACATCCAAAACATTAGCATGTTTGAGTAATCACATGTGAACCAACAACATGACTTTCATGATAATCTGACATTATGCCCTATTTGCCAATTGCACATGGCGTAGCTGGCCTCAGAGATACATGCTATAGCAGGGCAGGCTCTACACCATCCTAACTTTTGTTTTTCAGCCCCCATTTGTAATGGAGAAGTGGACTGTAGGAATAATGGAAAATCAGACTGTAGAATGCACTGTCACCTATGAGGTAAGCTTGGTGTTGGGGAGGGGTGGGGCGCTGGTGGATTTACCGTAAGTTTCTCAGTGGGAATTTATTTGCTCCCTCATAGGGCATAAAATTGGAAGAGAAACTATTTAACCAATATGAATATGGGAAGATTAACATAATTACACTAACAAAATGTTGCTAAGGAAAGAGAACAGGATATTCTCACCTAGATAAAGATTGAGGTAGTAATTCATCCATTCATCAGTTAATGACTGAACATCTTCCACATGTCACGTCACGTGTTAGGTACTGGGGGAGACCAAATAGTGACCAAAACAGAGTTTTGCCTTCTTGGTGCTTAAAGTTTAGGGGTGAGGGTAGATCAGGGATTCTTCAGAAGGACAGAGCACAACTTCTACTATCACCTGGCAGGCAGGGAGGTCTATTACCAAAAACAGATTCAATATATTTTATATATAGAAAAATGGAAAAACTGACACTTTAATATGCTATTAAAATTAAAATTCATATATTTAGCAAATACCTACTGACAGTTACTGTTCTATGATTAGGATAGACTAAATCTATACTCTCTCTTGAGGTTTATGTTCCAGCGGGAGGAGATTGATAATAAATAGGTAACAAGTAGAGAGTGGTAAGTGGTAACCAGAAAATAGTGAGACTTGGGGCATGAGACTGGGTGGTTAGGGAAGGCCTATTCCTCTGATGAGGAGGCAGCAAGAAAAGGCAGCAGAGGAAAGGCAAGCCCAAGCTCCTGAGGCACAGAGGACAATGACAGGGGGTGGGCAGGCCAGATCACAGAGCTTCACAGGGTCACAGTGAGGAGTTTGGATTTACTAAAAATGCCAATGGGGTGTTTTAAGCAGTCTACTGCTTTAAATAACCTAATTAGGTTTTTAAAATCAGCAATATTTTTATGGCTGGTGGGACATACACTTTACAAGGTAGAGAAACCCTGCAGAAACAGGGTGGAGGGGAAGAAGCAGGGCACAGAGTCTTAACACACATGGAGATATTAGCATGCATCTGCCATCCAAAGGACATGCATTTCATTCATTCATTCAATTATTCATGCAGGAAACATTTAGTAAGGATTCACCATGACCTAGGCCCTATAAGAGAAGCTTACACCTGTTTTCTCTCATTAACCCTGTATCAATACTTAAAGATAGGGAGCATCAGCTTCATTTGGCAGCTAGGGAAAACCAGCTCAGAGAGATGGAAGGAAGTCCTGAGGTTTGGGGTAGTCAGTGACAGTCAGTGGCGTCACACCCAGATTCTCTGACTGTAAATCCAGCTTCCACTCTTCCTCAGCTGTCCTACCCGTTCCCTTCCCAGCAGTAAGATGAAGGAAATCAGTCTCACATTGGACTCCGTGCACTGCTGCATTGTGACGGTCTTCTGAGTTGCCAGGTTAGCTTTGATTCGACATTAGAAATCCAAACCCTGGCCACTCCGCTTATCCAGGGTGACCTGATCCTGGAAGCCAATGAGTATTACAGCACTTACTTACCCTCACCAGCCAGCGAGCACAGTTCATCAGGGATGAGCTGCCTGAGAAACAGCAGTAATTGTCAAAGTGCTGCCTGTAGGACACAAAACCTAAATGAGGCAGTTGATTGGAATCTAGACTATTCTGGAATCTGTTGACCAGTGCCCACTGTGCAGGACAAGCCTTCTTTTTAGTAATTGGACAGTTCCAACAGCCAGATTTCATCTCTGCCTGCCTTAGTTGTGGAGACACACCACATTAAATTCTTTTCTTCTCTCTTTCTTCTTCTTCCTCCTCCTCTTTCTTCTTCTTATGGTCTGTGATGATGCACTACTTGTGTTGGTCATGGTCACTTCATAACTGTAATGAGGTGATGAAGCGTTTCAGGATGAGAAGGTGGTATGTCTTGGATCTGGTGTCCTCTCCTTTTTCTAGTCATTATTCTTAACTCCCTATCCTGCCTCACTTTTGCACCTGTTACTGTGCACCCTCCATGGGGATAATTAGTCCACCACGCTGCCCACAGTCACCCAATTACCCGGATGATCCAAAGCAGTCATGGGCAGGATAGTGGTCAGATTATGTATTCACATCTGTCTTCAAGTACTTTAAACAGAAGAAATGGTCTTTCATTTCTCGGTAAACAAAAAGGTAAGTTGAGATTTGCCAAACAGAATACATTCTGAGGGAAGATAACCGCGTTTTGAACTACTATATAATCCACTAAGGAATAAAGTGGTTAAAAGGCAAACTGTACAAATATTTCACCTAATGCCTTATGATAATAGTGTTCTAAGGAGTTAAACTGAAGTGACATGATAACCTGATTTTTTTTTCTTCCTATTTTATAAACACGAGCATCTGGTCGTGAGTTGTTTTTTTTTTTTTTTTTTTAACAGAGTGATGTTCGAGCTCCAAAGAGCACTAAGCACGTCCACTCAATTCAGTGGAGTAGAATGAAACCTCAGGATGAAGTGAAAGCCATCCAACTTGCCATTCAGACATTACTCCCTAACTCAGAAGGCAACTGTAGAAGCAGGTCTGACTCAAGTAAGTTTAGATGTGTGCTGTGTGCTAGACTCCAAAAACTTGAATATCAAATTCTCATACCCAGGATAAGTGCCAGTTTGTGAATAGACATAGCTTTCTAATATAAGACTTCCGTCTTTTATTTTTAGAATATTGGTTTTATAGACAGACTATATGGACAGTAGTATTTATGGACTTATAAATGAGCATATTACAATAAATTTCAGTATTTGGATAACTATGATAAAAGATGAAAATTAATGATTATGTTATATTGGTAAATAAGAATATATATTTATACACATACATTCAGTTTCCAAAATTGTAGATAGGGATATGAATCTTCTGGGTCCAGCAAACATTCCTATGAAGCCAGAGGTATCACTGGGGCAGTTTCTTGAGTCCTGACCACCACGGATACATCGAAGCAGAAGAATGATGGTTGAAGGGAGGGGGGAAAGGAGGGGAAGAGGAGAGGGGAGAAGGAAAGGTAGGGAAGGATAGAGAAAGAGAAAACATGAAATGCCTATGACGGACAGTGGTGGCAGGAATTACAGATGCTATACTGAAACAAATTAGCATTTACATAGGGGAAGGCCAGCTGACTTGCTGTTTTTTTTTTTTTTTAAAGATTTTATTTATTTGAGAGAGAGAGAATGAGAGAGAGAGAGCACATGAGAGGGGGGAGGGTCAGAGGGAGAAGCAGACTCCCCACCGAGCAGGGAGCCCGATGCGGGACTCGATCCCGGGACTCCAGGATCATGACCTGAGCCGAAGGCAGTCGCTTAACCAACTGAGCCACCCAGGCGCCCGCTGACTTGCTGTTCAATTGGTCATTATTTGGTAGATTCAGGGAAGAGGTCCTGACCTTCACCTTTGTAGGTCCGGAAACTCAGGTACAACCCTGAGATAGGCTCTGCGGGACTACAAGCTAACAGACGTGTGAGAGTTGGATGCATAAACCCCCATGCAATTCACTTTTTCCCAAGAGAAATACACCTGCCAAACGAACCAGAAGTACATGTTTTCTGATCAGTGCATTATTTTTCCCAATAAGAAAATACACCTGAAAAGCCACATCAGGAGGTTCTTTGGTGGCCTGGAAAAGAAGTACCCCCATGGGTGCTGTCAGAGTTATGAGAACCCAGCAAATGTGTCCTCTACTGTAGAACTGGCTTGTCAAGCGCACCAGGCCTTCTTCTGTCCACCAGCCCAGGGGGCCCAGAATCCTGGGCGGTACTCAAAACTCACCAACAAATTTTTGACAGCATGCTGGACCTGCCTGCCTTTTCAACACAGTTGATTGGGTTCTTTTCTTTCACAATTAATCATGAGAAGACATTTTGGCTACCATGACTGACCTGGAGTTTTTACCAAGCTTTCTCAGCCACAAAACACATTTTCACATAACCTCTTACAGCATGCTGTTTCTACACTTGACTAACCCATATAATAGGTGTTGATTCTCAGTAGTACAGAGCACTGCATTTCTAAGTTCTTTTATTTGCTAATTCAACCATCTTGTCTTGCATGCTTCCTATCATGCCTTTACAAGGACTTCTTATAACTTTCCCATCCCAGTGAATTAATTTTTATAAGGCACATCTTACTTCTGTAGGGCTTTCATAGCCATGATCCTATTTGATCCCTACAACACTCTTGTGAAATCTGTGGGGGTCTTCTTTCTCCACTTCTGCAGTATTTTTTTCTCTTTTACCAAAAGCTGATTTTTTTTTAAAAGATTTTATTTATTTGACAGAGAGCGAGACAGCAAGAGAGGGAACACAAGCAGAGGGAGTGGGAGAGGGAGAAGCAGGCCTCCCGTGGAGCAGGGAGCCTGATGCAGGACTCCATCCCAGGACCCTGGGATCATGACCTGAGCCGAACGAAGGCAGACGCTTAACGACTGAGCCACCCAGGCGTCCCTAAAAGCTGGTTTTCTGTTTCCCAACCCACATGATGAAAAATAGGTGCCAGCTGCCTCCAAGTTCATGGAGTTCAAATCCCACCACTTTGAGAATCACCAAATACTTCATCGGTCCCAATTCCAGATTCCCCGGAGTAAGACTTATTTGTGCGGTTTTTGTCCAAGCATTCTCCTCTGGACCAGTTAAGTCTCTCCTCAGGAGGAGATGGTGGTAGGTGGCAGTACCCAGTGGGGGAGGCAGGTGGTGAGGACACCCCCAGCGGGGGAGGCAGGTGGTGAGGGCACCCCCAGCGGGCGGGGGAGGCAGGTGGTGAGGACACCCCCAGCGGGGGTTGGCAGGTGGTGAGGGCACCCCCAGCGGGCGGGGGAGGCAGGTGGTGAGGGCACCCCCAGCGGGCGGGGGAGGCAGGTGGTGAGGACACCCCCAGCGGGGGGAGGCAGGTGGTGAGGACACCCCCAGCGGGGGTTGGCAGGTGGTGAGGACACCCCCAGCGGGGGAGGCAGGTGGTGAGGACACCCCTAGCGGGCGGGGGAGGCAGGTGGTGAGGGCACCCCCAGCGGGCGGGGGAGGCAGGTGGTGAGGACACCCCCAGCGGGCGGGGGAGGCAGGTGGTGAGGACACCCCCAGCGGGGGTTGGCAGGTGGTGAGGACACCCCCAGCGGGGGGAGGCAGGTGGTGGGGACACCCCCAGCGGGGGGAGGCAGGTGGTGGGGACACCCCCAGCGGGGGGAGGCTGGTGGTGGGGACACCCCCAGCGGGGGAGGCAGGTGGTGGGGACATCCCCAGCGGGGGAGGCAGGTGGTGGGGACACTCCCAGCGGGGTTGGCAGGTGGTGAGGACACCCTCAGCGGGGGTTGGCAGGTGGTGAGGACACCCTCAGCGGGGGTTGGCAGGTGGTGAGGACATCCCCAGCGGGGGTTGGCAGGTGGTGAGGACATCCCCAGCGGGGGAGGCAGGTGGTGAGGACACTCCCACCGGGGGAGGCAGGTGGTGCACTGAACTGTAGCCATGTAGGTAGAGACAGGCTAGGGACATTCCCCAAAGAGGACAATGGGCAGAGGTCTAACAAGTGTCCTGCACCTCTCTGAAATCTAAATCTTTTGGGAAAAAGCAAATTATTTCTCTAAGAGAATTAGGAATGGTCAATACCCTTTAAACTCCCAGTGGAATGGCTTTAGATCAACCTTTCCCTCTGATTATAATTAACAGGAGAGGTTGCAGGATAAAAGGAGGGCGTGACCTCCCTTTGGCTTACCCCCGTTTTAGCTAGTGTGCCTCCCTTCCTTCCTCCTATTTCTTTTTCCCTTTTGATGTGCAGACTCAAAGGACACTACCTGGATCAGTTAGGATATATTTTTTAGCAGCAACAGAAAATCCAACTTCCACTGGCTTCCTCCCAAATGGACCACTAATCCCAGGAACAGCAGCCTCAGGATAGGAACTTGTTAGAAATAGGAACTTGTTAGAAATGCAAATTCTCAAACCCAACCGCAGACCTGATGAGTCAGAAACTGGGGGTAGGGACCAGCAATGTAGGCATTCTAAAGTTCTGAAACCACAAGTTTTAACTATAATAAAATGTGCTGTTTTCTGTGGAAGTCCAGAAGAAGGCTGGGCTCAGGTGCAGTAAGAGCGGCTGGGTCGCCCACGTTAAGGACAAGGAACAAACCTTTCCTTCCTTCCACTCTGCCATCCTCAGTCTGTTACTTTTGCCTGCGGCCTAGCTCCTCCACAGTCACAGCCATGGTGTAGAGATATGGCAGTGTGCAGAGGGCACGAGGGGCCAATGCCTTTCCTGCTCTCACGTTGAGGGGTGAGAAAGATTTGCCTACATACCCCCAGCAGATGATCCCTTGGGTTGCTTTAGCCAGAAACTGAGCAGTGTGTCCATTCCTGCCCACGACATCACTGCATCTGGCTCAGGCCAATCAAAGTCTGCCACCAGAGCCAGAATGTGGTCAGCTTCCCCCAGTGCACTTGGTTCCATGAGGAGGATGAACACCGAACAAAATCAGGGCTCTGTTAGAAGCGACAATTTCAGAGAAGTCAAGGGGAAGGCAAGAAGGCCCTGTGGTTGGGTGAAGCTGTGAGGAATGTCTGGACACAGGAGGGCACCTGTACTGGGACAAGTCACTCACCTCAGAGGTGTGGTCGCCTGTGCAGGGCAGTGAGGGGGGCTGCTTGCTGGAGAGAGAAGTGAGCAGGCTCTGCCCCTCTCCGGAAGCTCCTCCTGACAGGCATGGTGAGAACAGCTCAGGGAGTACTAGGAGGGGACTCAAGGGTGTGGGCAATAGGACTGAGGCCCCTGGGGCAGGCAGAAAAGATCCAAGGTGTGACTTGCTTATTCACAGAAATAGATCTTACTAAATGGTTCTTGTTTATTTACCATTTTCTTTTACCTTCTCTTCCTGTTTGCCATGAAGCTTCACTTTTCATGGGGAAAAAAAAAAAATTTCTTATTCCTGAACCTCAGAATCTCTCCTCTAGAGATGTGAGCTTTCTTCCAGACAATCCCCAGCTGTCTCAACCACTGGAACCCAATTTCTTTTATCTGCATTAGGGTTCTTGAGGATTTAAAAGTGCCTGCTGGCAAAAAACCTTTCGTTTACTAAACACGCCCCTACCATCCAAACACATGCAAACAGCAATTTCTAGAAGTGCTGACATGGCTTAAGTGGGAAGAAGATGGGATTTAGATGCAGAAGAACCTGGAATTATTAGCTGAGTGACCTTGGGCAAGTCACCAGACCTCCCAAGCTTCAGTCTCCTGGTTTATGGAGTAAGATTATTTGTACTTACCCTGAGGTAGGAGTAAATGAGACCATGTAAGTAAAGCCTCTGGAACGAGGCCAAGCATATAGCATATACTCATTTAGTGCAATTCCTTATTTTTTAAGAAGTATTTATAATAATAAAGGAAATGTCCTTATACCTAGCCTAGAATTTCTATGAATGGTAAAGCTTAGAGCATCCTAAGCAGGCTTGAATTGTCTTGAGACAGGCTTATGAATTAGGCATGCAGCTTTACTGTGGTTTAGAAGATGCTCATTTCCGTTTCCTCTGCAGGTGCTGATCGCCAGTGGCTGGATACTCTGAGGTTGCGGCAGATTGCATCCAATACTTCTTTACAGCGTTCCCAGAGCAATCCCATTCTGGGGTCACAATTATTCCCCTATTTCAATGACCAGGATTCCTATGCTGCTGCTGTAAGGCGGACCCAGGTGCCCATTAAGTATCAACAGATTACACCCATAAACCAATCCAGAAGCTCCTCTCCTACTCAGTATGGACTGACCAAAAACTTCTCTTCCCTACATCTCAACTCCAGGGACAGTGGCTTTTCCAGTCTTCCAACTGACAGCTCTTTAGAGAGGGGTCGATACTCAGATAGAAGCAAGAACAAATATGATCGTGGTAGCGTATCACTCAATTCTTCTCCTAGGGGAAGGTACAGTGGGAAAAGTCAGCATTCCACACCTTCACGAGAAAGATATTCTGGAAAATTATACAGGGTTTCTCAGTCAGCACTCAATAGTCAGCAGTCACCTGACTTCAAGAGAAGCCCAAAGGACTGCCATCAACCCAGGACCATACCAGGGATGCCTTTACACCCTGAGACTGACTTACGAGCCAGTGAAGAGGACAGCAAAGTCAGCGAGGGAGGATGGACAAAGGTGGAACACCGTAAGAAACCTCACAGGCCCTCTCCTGCCAAGACTAACAGGGAAAGAGCCAGAGGAAACTACCGTGGAAGGAGAAACTTTTGATGAATTGAACTAGATGAGTTTTCCTACATAGGCTCTTTTCTTTTCTTTCCTTTTTTTTTTTTTTTTAAAGATGTAATGGATTTTAATAATACAATACCTTCAGACAGAATTAACAAAAAGACAACTTTTCCATTTTTGGATTTAGGAAATGCCTTCTAATTGAGACTACAGCCAAACCAGAGCTAAAATGATGGATGTTGGTTGCCCAAGGATGATAACTAGACTTAAACATAACTATACATATCCTCCCACCCCCAAATTAACATTTTGAGAGGAGGAGATATGCCACCTTATTTCCCTAACCACTGCCATTCTGGTTAGCAGGGCCTGGACTAGGGTGATGTTAAGTGGGGGTCCTTGTCTTGGGTACAGAATTTATGGGGAGCCAGAGAGCTCAATAATCAAGATACATAATATTCTAATGCAATATTTAAATAAATGAAAATTAATGCAAAAAATTCTGTGATAAACAAAAAGTCAAAATTCTCCATAAATATAGGATCAGTACTACTGATTTTTCCTCTTGTCTAAGGCTCCAGTATGGCTTGGCAAGGCACTGTTACGGATCCAGTCTATTTAAAATTTTGATATTTTGTTCATCATGAATTTTTGCATTAATTTTTAAAATATTGCATTAAAATATCATTTATCTTGATTACTGAGGTGTTGGGGCTTCTCGTTTTTTCTTGAGGCCTCCTTAATTTTGTGCCTGAGGCAAGTGCCTCAGTCTTGACACTGCTGGTTAGTATTTATTTTAGTAAGGTATTTAGATTTTTATCATGGTCAGAGCTGAAGTGATTTGGTTCGTCATTTTTAGGCAAATAAAAAGGTTACTGAACTTAATGTTTATTGTGATGCATATCTCTTTCATTAAGACTCATCAGAAACCAAAGATCTAAAATTGCCTAGGAGATTTGTGGTTACTGCTTTCCCAAAGCTCCCAGGGACTGCTTTTGAATATTATTTTCTACATTTTACCAAAGGAGGGGCAAAGAGGGAAAAACAACAGTCCATAAAGACCTCCCGGAATGTCAGAAATCTAAAATCTGGAAGAAAACAGACACAGAGCAGGATAATAACGTCACAAGCCACAAGCCAAAGAAATTTAAAATTACCAACATCCTTGTTAGAGCAAGATGGTAAATACTATCCTTGCAGCAAGAAATCTCTAAGCAGCTGAGGGGGGTCGGGAGGTGGGGGGCGGGGGGAAGGTAAATGGTGCAAGTGGGAGGAAACTGCCGGCAGCTTAGGGCAGGAATTGTGAGATCCAACTTCTGAAATTCTTCATATTTTAGAAATCAAAAAGTCAGGAGGTAACAAACTTATATGTCAAATAAATAAATGTTACTTTCAATATATTCTGAGATTCTGTTCAGTATTCACTAACCCTGAATATCAAGCGTCCTTTGCCCTGCACAGGATTCTCAATGCTCTGGAGAAGTTCTAATGACACACTGTAATTCTGTGGGGCTGAGTTCTCTTCAATAGGAACCAGTCATCAAACTTGAGCGAATGTTCCCAGAGTAGCTGCCGTGCTCTGATAAGTGCCTGGGGCCTGGTGGGGAAAACTGTATTTGGGACGCATTAAAGTCAAGGTCATAGGAAATGACCTTTATTTACAAGAGAAGTTGTGACCTAAACATTGATTCAACAACTCGGTTTTGTAAGTTGTAGTACATGTTTGCCATCTGCGTTTATAAGCAAAAACAATGGGCAGTGGTAAAATCAGAGGGCGGGGTACTCTCTTCCATCATGCATAACCCATGTCTCTTAAGGTTGTAAGCTCCATTGTGGTCCTTTCTCACAAAGCTTATAGCAACTGCAGTCTGTTTTTATTTTCTTCTTGTCCTTTGAGTTTAAATTTAAAGAAAAATAGACTAATAGAAAGTATGCTATCTTAATAGCATGCTGCTTCCAAATAGGCAATAAAATATTTTCTTTGATTAGAATTTTTGGTTAAGTGCCTGAACACAGAACAGAGTCTTAACTGAGTCACTCTAAAAGTATGGCTTTAATTATTAAACAAAATGGGCATTCTGGAGAATTATTTAAGACTCTAGTTTAAAAAGTGTTACGCAAATGTTGCTTGTTTCAGGCTGTTTTCTCCTCTTCTAGCTTTCGTGAGCTATGGGCTGGAGAATCCAGGCTGGTAGTGAAATGACTTAATGACCTCAGCCCTAGTTAGTATAGTAGCTGATCACACAGTGGTTATTCCAACAGCCCACAAAACTGACCACTTTGTAATACCTATTGGAAAAATACTTGTCAGCATCAATGCTCCCAGTCCAAAACCAGAATAAGAACATCCGGAATCTGTTTCTTAGTTGTAAAGCAAAAGTAAGAGTTGTTCGTTTCTTTTTTTTTTTCCTAATGATGTTTATTCTCCAAAAGTTGATAGCCAGGTTGAAAGATGAATATAAGTCAAGAACAGAGCAAGGATTAATAGGATTTTTTTTCCATCCAACTAAATCAGTTATCAACAATGACAAACTACAGAACTTTGAAGAGACTGAATTTAAAAAAAAAAAAAAAAAAAAGTGGCACCTGGGTGGCTCAGTCAGTTAAACGTCTGCCTTTGGCTCAGGTCATGATCCTAGGATCCTGGGATTGAGCCCCGCATCGGGCTCCCTCCTCAGTGGGAAGCCTGCTTCTCCCTCTCAAATAAATAAATAAAAAATCTTTTAAAAATAATAAAAAAGGATATTTTAAGAGAAAAATTACAGTAGAAACAAATTAAGAAAGTCTATCTTGAGTTGGGCATCTCTAAATGTGAGGATTTAGTGGTCCTTAAGTAGACTTTTGATGGAATCTAGAACTGCTCAATCTATGTTGCTTGCTACCACAGAGGTAATGATTATTCCAGGCATAGCCCAGACAAAGCAAGATATTTTGCTCTTTGCAAAGTCACTGAATTAGCAATTCTATAGAAATAGTCTGAGTCCTTTTTTTTTTTTTTTTTTAAGTAGGCTCCCTGATGTGCATGGAACCCAGTGCAGGCGGGGCAGGGGGCTTGAACTCAGGACCCTGATATCAAGACCTGAGCTAAGATCAAGAGTCAGATGCTTAACCAACTGAGCCACCCAGGTGCCCCTCTATAGAAATAGTCTGAATAATCAAATAATCCCAAATCTGTATAGGAAAACTGGAGATTATCGAGGACTACTTTAGAAATAAATATAAACTAGCAACTGTTTTCAACCAATTAATAATGAATATAGTTCATAAAAATAATAAAAATTGAACTGCAATATTTAAGACTACTCATGGTAAAACTGAGAACAGTAAGATCTGACCCGGGGGGAAAATCAGATTAAGAAACAATGGCCACAAAAGAATCCTCACAGTGGCACAAGCGATAATTGGTAAAACTTGGCATGAACAGAACAACTTTTGATATATGAAATCTTCAATGTAAAATTTAAATTGTAGAGAACTAGTCCCGTGGGGGAAAAATCAATACGATAAAAAATTTAATATAAAATGAGAAACAATTTTATTACTTTGGATAGAAAAATCAGGAAATTAAATTAACAATGACTTTTACTTCATGAAATTCTTCCTTGAAAAAAAAATTTCTCATTAGTTGTATAGTTGTGATAAAAATATTTTATCCATAAAGAGTCAAATGTCCAAGGGTTAAGACAGCAAAGTCAGAATGTCCAGTAGTTCAAAGTGGCAGAGTTAAAACATCTTGGACACAGCTCCAGGCATTCTGACTTCACGGAAACTTTTCCATTTCAGAAGTACCAACTAGTTCATAAGTCTTATAAGTACATTCTCCATAATTTATGATTCACCTCAACAAGTTGGTACAGATATGGCATGCTTCTGAAATGTGGCTGTCAGAAACCACTCAGTTATAGGATGCCACGATTGGGTTGTGCCAACTTGTTAGGATGTAGCCTCATTGAAATTGTAAATTATAGACACTGTCATTAGGAGGCTTGTAAAATCTCTTGCCACCACTGGCTTTGAGAAGCTACAGGTAGGTCAGGGTGCCCTGGGGACGTCAGAACATAAGACGTGGGCCTACCACCTCTGTCTGTCTATTACTGAAGCTGGTTTATAAAACTGCAGAGGAGGAAAAAAAATGCCAGATCCATGGTCCAGCTTGTCAAGACTTTAGTGTAGCAGGCTCCAGTGACTTCTTGCTCAATTGCCCTTTCCCTTTGACTAATGAGCTGGCCAAATAATGCATGGCTGAATCAAGAGGGTCACAGAATGAAGAAGACTTGTGACCTCATAGTTCATTCATTCAAAACTAAAACCAATATTTATCTCCAGAACCAATGATCCATATCCTCAGCAGTCCCGCCAAAATGTGTTCCTTACCACCTCCAGGAATCTCACTCAGGCCTCAAGGTCCCAGAGACATCCTGCTTCTCCCTCCACAGTTCCAGCCATTTTCTCCATTCTGTACCCCTCTTGCGGGCCTTTTATCACTCACTTCCTTGCACCATTACTTAACCCTTCAAACCCACTCCCCCTGAAGGTCCTCTGTGAGAGCAGTGCAGTGCTGCCCAAGAATGTGTTGATAGGGAAGCAACACTAACCTCTGATACTTAATCAATGGAATGGCCACAAATGGTTCAATACCCCTCAGGCCTGAAAAACATGTTTGCAAATCAGACTGGAAGTACGAAGCAATCCAAAGAGAGCATGAGTCTTTTAGAGGTGGTGGGAGGTTTAAGGGATAGGTGTGGAGGCAGCCAGAGGTGGTCAGTCTTGGAAGGCCAGAATAAGGTGACCCACAAAGGAAAAGGTTAGCCTTACTATCCATGCCAGGCCTTCATGCAGGGCGCAATGTGTCCAGTCGTTCATGGAGACCCCTTAAGCAGGACAATATTATCCAGCAGAGCCCTTTCCAAACTGACATGAGAATCCACTCAGTTGAGGAAATCTGAACTTGCCGTGGAGATGGTCATATGGTCCCGCTCCTGCTTACCTCTTCTGCATCACCATTTGCCTCTCCCCACAGCAATCAAATACTATGCCATAGCCACACTGAACTGCTCCCATGTTCCCT